TCTTAATGTAACATTTGATTATTGCTCCAATAGTTATTTCAGCTCCAAAAAACACCAAGAAGACTGTGATCATGATTGTAACTTGATGATGGTTCTTAGTTTATAACCTTAAAATATAATCATATAGAAGTAGACGCCTCAAAAAATAAGAAGTGGCCTGGTGTTGTGGGGCATGCCTGTAATCCCAGCGGCTCAGGAGGCTGAGACAGGTGGATCATGAGTTCAAAGCCGGCCTCAGCAATGGTGAGGCACTGAGAAACTCAGTGAGACCATGTCTCTAAATAAAATACAAAAAAAGGACTGGGGATGTGGCTCGGTGCCACTAAGTGCCCCTGAGTTCAATCCCAAGGACCTAAAAAAAAAAAAAAAAGTGGAAGGAAAAACAAAAAAGTGGAAGAATTCACAGGCTTTACATTAGCATTGGTCTTTGTCTAATTTTGATTAATATAAATATATCCCCAAAGCCCCCTTTTTTTAATGTGGTGCTGGGGATTCAACCCAATGCCTCATGCATGCTCGGCAAGTGCTATACCACTGAGCCACAGCCCAATCCCCACAAAGCACTTCTTCAAGGGAAATAAGACTTGAGAAATGTTTAAGGCACCATGCACGTCTAAATCATCTGCTTCTCAGCTTTGTGTCATTTGGCTGATATCAGTTAACCCAATCACATAACTAATGGACTGACAAGTTTGGAAGGAAAATCTAATTGATATTATATCTATGCAAGTCTGAATTTCAGTTGTTATTATTAAAAAGAGAAGATTCAAGAGAAAAGAAAAAGGAAAGAAGTGAGGAGGAAGACAAGAGGAAAGGAAGAAAGTGTTTGGGGAGGTTGCCGTGTAGCAGGCACTGTCATAAGGGCTTTATATGTAATTTATTTTAGGATCAAAACTATCACCCTTGATAAAGATGGGGTACTTGGTTTCTGGCATGGTTTGGTAACCAGCTCCAGGCTATAGAACTGCTTAAGTGGCAGAGTTAGAATTGACTAAATAAAATTTGACTCCAGATTGTGTGGTCTTAACGGGTATTCCATACTGCCTTTAATGCCTAGAACACAAGAGAAATTCTTGAAATAAGTGCAACATTTTTCTGATTCATTCATTCATTTAATATATATTTAGTGATGGTGCATCTGCACCAGAAAATATTTATTAGTATTAGGAATTGAAAATGCAGACAGTTGAAAACTAACTAGGTTCATGCTCTCTGACACATTCTGATTTAGACAGGAATACACACACACACACACACACACACACACACACACATATATATATACACACACATATTTATATACACACACGCACATATTGTATATAACTACATGTATATATATACATACACACATATATAATGTTATATATTATTATAACAATATTAAATTAATTTATAATTAATTCAAATATATAATCAGTTTAAATTATATTGATGCAATTAATATAACTATGTTATATATAAAATATTATATATTATTTTAAGTGAATATGAGCTCACTGAAGTGTCATAAAAATGTACTCTGCTAAATTCCAAACAAAGAATCCTAAGAGTTCCAGAGCTGGAAGAACCAGAGGTATGAAGCTAAGAGGTCTTTTCTACTCAGGAAGGACAAGCTGGTTAACTGGATCATTGGCCAAAGGTCCCTGTTGGGGCTGAGAGCGAGGGCTTCCCTCCAAGTCAGGGCAGAGCAGATGACTTGCCCTGGGCTGCAGAGCTGGAGTAAGCAGACAGGAATCTGTGTCTCTGACACAGATACTTTGGTAAGGACAATTGAGCCTGAAGGCAGGGAAGGAACAGAGCGTAGGACTGCAGGAATACTGTTTGGGGAACTCTCAAGACCCCCCAAGAGCTTTGCTTTGTGTCAGTGATGATCATTTCTTAGTAATAAGAATAACAAATCTCAAATATCCAAGACTGGGAGGAGTCCTACTAGAGCTCTGAAAAGTCCTGGGAGCTCCTGAGTCTCACCCCTGGAGTTCCTTTTCATCTTCCCCTGCAGTCTTTCATTTTGATTTCTGCTGCATCTGTTGTGCTGGCTCAAAAAAAAGCATTAACATTCCTGTCCAAGCCTTAACAAAACCCCTTTCCCTTGAGATATTTGTTGAACAGGATTGCCTGGCTATGTTTACTTAAACATATTTGCCACATGATTAATGAGCGACATAAAGCACTTAAACTTGGGAGTCATTAAACGTGTAATTTCCATTTCCCTTGTCTACCTGACCTTTTCTTAGCTCACAGGTATACCATTATACATACTGTCTCTGTGGTACCTTTTATGGTTGTGTGAGTCGGAGGAGGCTAACTGCAAAACAAGTCCAAATTCCAGTGGCTTAACATAGCAAAAGTTTCCTTCTCATTCCTGTCGCATTCACACACAGGGCTGCGGCAAAGCTCTCTTCCAGGCAGTCATTCAGGGATCCAGGGATCTCCATCTTCTTCTTTGGAACCCTCTCCATGTGACCAGCAGAAGAGCAAAGGCAGCATGAGGAAGATGCCACAGCTCATTGGTGAGGTGCATTCACTCTGATGGGAACGAGTCCCATGGCTCACCCAGGTGCACAGGGATAGAGAAGTCATCCACTGGAAATCCAGCAAGTGGGGATCTGAGATGTCCATTTGGCCTCCACCACATGGAGGAGGATAACAAAGGAGGAGGATAACAAAGTACTTCTAACCTCCATGGAAATTATGGAAAATGTAAATATGTTGTATCATGTAATATACAGCAGGGAGGAAGGAATAAGCTTAGTTTCCTCGAATACTTAAATCAGCAATATAGAGAATATAGTTCCCCTATCTACAGAGCTTAGAAGGAACCCACAAAATATGTAAAAGATAGCCATTTTAAAGGTTATTACCACATCATTTTCTCCCAACAATTAAATATTCAGGAAAGTTTAAGCATGGTACATTTCAATTTATTTTTGTATGGTTTTAGAATTGTGAAACTTCTAAGCTTGCACAGGTTCTTTTTTTTATTCTTCTTCTTCTTTAAATTGTGGTAAAATAGACATAATGGAAAATTTGCAATTTTAATGATTTTAAAGTGTGCAACACTATATTGTATAGTACATTTGCAATTGGTGTGCAGTAAACCTCCAGAACTCTTTCCATAAACACAGAGTAGTAAGTCAGTACTCAAGAAACCTAATAAAATCTAGGATGCAATTCCCCACATAATGAACAATTACAAATATTCCCTTGGCATTCTGTGACAGCAATGATTATTTTGGGTTAAGACTGATTTGTCAGTATGTTCATCATCAGCAAGGAATGTCACTTAATTTTTTGCTTGTCTGGTTTTTAATTGAGGTAACATATACATAACAAATTGGAGGTGGAGATGGAACCCCCATTGGCCTTGAGCATGCTGAGCATGGGCTCTACCACTGAGCCACATTCTCCATCCCATCTTAACGGTTTTAAAGTGCATAGTTAAGATCTTTTAAGCATATTCACATTGCTAGGCAAAAATCTCCAGGACTTTTTCATCTAGCAAAATGGAAACTATATCTCTTAAACAACAATTCCTGTCTGGGGCAACTGAGCATCTTCTCTCAGCCTTGAGCCAAGGAGGTTTTGGTCTGGCATTGCATGCTGTTTTGTCGCCCCTCCCACTTGAGGGATTGCATGATGCACATGGCTTCTACCTTCCCTCAGCTAAGAAGTCTGCTTTCTCATAGCTCTGGACCTGGGTGTTACCCATTAGGCTTGGACAGCTCACCCCCTGCCTTATTTGGTGAAGAACATTCCATTGAAATTCTTTTGAAGCCCCCTTGAATAAATAAAGGAAACACAGGTTCTCATGCTTTCTTTTTTTTTTCCAGTGTGGAAGCTTCCCACCCATAAGGTCAAAGAGCCATCCTGCCCTGCTTTATAAAAAATTACTTCCATGTCAGTGTGGTCTTTTCACAACCAGCCTGTTTCCAAACACCCCACCCACAGTGGGACATGGGCGGGAAATCCCCCTACCCCTGGCAACTACCATACTTTTTTCTGTCTCTATGAATTACACAACTATAGGTACTTCATAAACATAATAGTACAGTATTTATATTTTTGCAACTGGCTTATTTCACTTAATATATGTTTAAGTTTCATCCATGCTGTTAGCATGTGTCAGAATTTCCTTCCTCTTTTGGGATAGAGAATAATAATAATCATAATGATTACTCCATTGTGTGGAAAACCACATTTCATTTATCCATTCATCCATCAATAGACCCTTGGATTTTTTCTACCTTTTGGCTTTTGTGAATAATGCAGAGGCAGCCATTTTCATGTAAATATTAAAGATGGAAAATCATAACACACTCTGTGGTGTGTGATTGTGTGTATGTGTGTGTGTCTGTGTGTGTGTTAGCAGGTAAATGTGTGTTCTTGCCTCCATCCTCCTAGTCCCAGACTCATAATTGAACCTAGGGCACTTGTTTCTATCATTTTCTTTATTGTCACCCATCTGGTTCTTAAGTAATGAAAACAACTCTTAAAATTAATGTATTAAAATGATAATCTTCTCAATGAATATGGGACATTTCCAAGTAATGGACTTTAAATTGGACTAGTTATTCTCAAGGTTAATCATTCAGTAAATTATTTATGTGCACTTACTTTGTATCACATTCTAAAGAAGTCAGGGTCCATAAAAGCAGTGCATAGCCTTCCCCTTGTCATAGTTGAAGTATAATATGTGAAATGCTCTAAGCTAACATTTCCAAACTATGTTCTGAAGCACATTAGTGTTCGGTATAATGCTAATAGATATTTCACACTGCCAGTGTTCCTTGATCAAGTAAGTCTGATGACCACTGTGATAATTCTTTTTTAATTTTTATAAAAATACAACATGATTGAGGCCCAAGGACAGGGATGGTGAGGTGATAGTGAAGTGTCCCTTTGTCGAGTGCAGTTTACTGGAGCAATTCAGCATTTAGTCAAGACAAGGAAGACAATCTTTCAGGAATGACAGGTATACAAAATGCACAACTTAGGCATCACAATTAAATTTTCTCTATTGACAAAGTTTAAGACTTTTGTACATTATTGGGCTCATCAGATATACTATACAATGTCTGTGTCTCATAAGGGTGGTTTTCTAGCCCATGAGGATATCAAAAGTTGCCTACCCCTCAAACATATCTCTTTCATCACTATCAATTTTAAGCCCAGGACTCGACAGACAGGTTCTCTCCTGGGCTCACAGAACTAACTAGACCTTCTTAGGTGGGCTTCTCTGGACCCCCTGACTTCTATTTCCATGGCTGGTATCATGTTCCATGAATAATCCTGAGACCAATAATGAAAGCCATCACTCAGAGGATGATGTGGAGGTGGGGGTTCCCCAGGCTGCAGAATGGAGTGATGCAGGAACAGCTGTCATGCAGGCAAAGCCTCCCATGATCTGAGGGGGAGTGCAAAGCAGAGCTCCTGCCCCCATTTCCTAGAAGCTGGAGGGCCCTCCCTCTGTAGGACACATGCCCAAGCTATGGGATGGCCTTGATGTTGTCAGCATTGTAAAGCAGACAAAGTTTAACTTCTACCCTCTTAGGGTCCTGGCTGAGTGTAAGAATTGAATTGACATAAGACAGATCAATAGGACAAAACCATACAGATCTAACCTGTTTTCCGTGACACTATAAACTCATCCGGAAATGAAGACCTAAAGAAAAGGCAAACCTACATACTTTTGTATTAGACTGAACAAAGAGAGAGAAGAGTGCAAAAATAACAAAATCATACACAGAGGCTCAAGGAAGATAAGAATTGTTTTGAACAAGGTCTGTTTGTGCAGAATTCTCTTGGCTATGACTCCTCATCAAAAAATGTTTCCTTTCTCCTGGTACAGGGAGGGCATCTTTCACAGGGGAGTCTTTATCTCCTGTTCTCAAGAAGAAAGGAGGAAGATTAGAAGGCCCTTCTTGCATCTGCTGTTTTTCAAGTTCCTTTTGCTCTATGTAATCCTGGTGTCAAAATGGCAGATTTGGGGATGGCACATTCTGCCACCCTTCACCAATTCAACCTCTTTGTCCCTCCTGCATCCTAAGCTCCCCACAAGTGCTGACCACAAACCTTGCCCTCACTGGCTCTTTCCCCACCATGCAAAGCAACTCAGACAGAGATGCCCATGACCCCAGCCTGATCAGCCCCAGCATGTCTGAGTCACAAGTTCATATACTTTTTCTTTCTAATCTTCCCTAGACTTCTTAAGTTCCCAGATGATGGACAAAGTGTGTGGGTTACTTGTCCATAGCCCAGAGCAAGTACTACAGCTATTCACTGACTGACAATGACTAAATAAAGAACAAAATCAGCCAGCTGTCCACCTATACATGGTTTCCTTGGTGACTGGTAGTAGGACATGTAGTAGGAAGCTGCCATACCATTCCCCAAAAGAGTCACACAAATAGGGGTTTGCTCATACTTACCCATTTCTGATCTTTCTAAATCTAACACTTCCACCTACAAATGAAGTTAATATTCACGAGCCCTATAGGATGAAAACCCTAATCAGACTCCATCAGAATGATTGTTTACGTTTATGCTTCTTATTCAAATAATAATAATAATAATAATAATAATAATGAGATTCCTTTTGAGAAGGAATGTCAGGTTGCTGCTCTGTGTGCTGGGGCCCAACTGTAACGGAAACTTGACCATCAGACACCTGAGCACCTCACGGGGTTACCCTGAATGCATGTTTTCTTTTCATTTCCTTTGCTTGTTTTTCTATTCTTGCCTTTCATTTCACAGCTTTGCCAAACATTCAGGTCAAGGTCAGAACAAGGGACTAGATACAGCATTGGAGGAACTGAGTTAGCCACACAGGGCCTCTCTCCAGTCAAAACATTTAGTGCACAGCCAAGGAGCCCATCTTTAGATTCCTGCAGAGAGAAAAGAAGAAAATCTCCCTTAAGAAAATGTCAGTTTTGCTTTGCTTCACTAGTCCCCAAGCCAACTTTATTTCAGGTTCCACAGAGGTTGTTCCCTGTAGAGGGGAAAGGCTGGGGGAAGCATCAGGAGACCTAACTTCTATTTCTAGCACTCACTGACATGTGACCTTATCCCCAGACCCTTCTTCACTTTGCCCCACACCCATCGCCATGCTGGCTTTAAACCTCCTGCCATCTTTTTCCGATTGCAATGCTGTATGTAAGACTCCGAGAGAGCTTCCCCAAGTCTCAAAGGAAGTGGTGCTAACTCTTTGGAGCTACTAGTGCCAAGCAGCTTAGAGGGGCCCCTCAAAAAGAGCCTCAAAAAGCTGTATTCCAAGATGTGTGACATGCAAAGACTAAACCTGTCTTGCTAAGGAGTGGGCACAGGGTGGTGGATCTTCCACAGGAAGCAGAAATCATTGGTTGCCAAGAGGCATCCAAGAGCCCAGGAACCTCCCCTGTGAGAAGCCAGGAGAGCTGCTCCGCCATCTCCCCCACGGGCTAGGGCTTTACTCTTGTCCTCCAGGAGGCGTCTGTGGTGCTGGAACTCTAAGTTATTGAAGCCAATAAGCATAATTCACACAGTGAGGGAGAACCATCCACTTCCTGGAAACCCCCATGTGCTTCGTGAAGAGGAAAACCATCATGGGAAAGAAGGGATGTCCGAGGCAGTGTAGCCCTCAGAGGGTGAGCTTTGGAGGAGATCAAATCCTAACTCTAGATCCTGTGTAGCCTTGAGTAATTTACTTCCTGTACCACTCTCAGTTTCTTCTATGCAATGGGGTGTCTAAGTGGAACCTAATTCATCTTATGAGTCTCAGCTGAGAAAATGCATGTACAGTGATCAGTAGTGTCCAAACATGCCAATTACTTTATGTATGTTATCCATTAACAACAACAAAAATAAGGCTCATGGAGAAAAATACATCTAAGCAGTTTATGAGTAATAAGCCCACGACACTTTGTGGCCCTGAAGTATTCTGATACATGCATATTATTTTAACATCTATAACATTTTGCTGTATTGTTTACTTCTCCCACTATTATGAACTCCTTGCAGGATAGAGGAATTAATTCTTTCATTGTCATATTACAATGTCACTACTACTATCTGCTACCTGTCTTATGTCATCTTTGTTGAGTAAATTAAAAAAGAAGTCATAAATTAATGAGCAAAGAAGTAAGCATATAAAAGAAAACTGTTAAAAGTAATATATTTTGCCTTAAGACAATTGTTTTTTTACATAAACTATTTCTAGAAAAATAGCATTTTACTTGTTTAATTTGAACTATCCCAACTTCCTCCCCTGATTCTCAAGAGTGCCAAATCACAGATTAGTTTCCCAAGAGTTACTTAGATGCTTAGTCAGCTTGGGTTGCTAGGAAAAAATACCAGAGACTGCTTAACCAACAGACATTTATTTATTATGGTTCTAGAGAATGGGAAGTCCAAGATCAGGATACCGATAGGTTTGGATCCTGAGGAAGGTACTGTTGCTGGCTTGTAAATAACTGCCTTTTACCTGTGTCTTTGCAAGGTAGGGAAAGAGAGATTTTATTTTCTCTTCCTCTTCTTAAAAGGACCTTAATCCTAGTATGTGTGTGTGTGTATGGGGGGGGGACACCTTCATGACCTCATCTAAAACTAATTACCTCCTGAAGGCCCCACTTCACAATACTATTGAGGTAGGGCCGAAGAAATAAAGATAGGTAGAAAGGAAACAATGGGAAGGAAAGAAGACACTGTAGCTGTAAATCTAAAAGCCCCATGATCAAACTTATGCCTTAGACCTGTTTTTCCTCCAGGTTACTTCCAAATTGCTGAGAAATCTGTTATGGTTTAGAAATGAGGTGTCCCCATAAGCTCACGTGTGAGTCAATGCAAGAAAGTTAGAAGTGAAATGATTGGGTTATGAGATCCTTAACTTAATCAGTGTGTTAATTCACTTGAATGAATTAGCTGGATGTTAATATAGGCTGGTAGGGTATAGTTGGAGGAGGTGGGTCACTAGGGGTGTGCCTTTAATGCTTATATTTTGTCCTCATTGAGGTAAAGGCATGCCAATCAGGAAGTAGAGCTCTTTCTCTCGGCTTCCTGATTGGCATGCCCTTAGCTGCTTTCCTCTGCCGCACCCTTCCACCACCATGTTCTGCCTCACCTCCCACCCAGAGCAATGAAATTGGCTGTCCATGGACTGAGACCTCTGAAATTGTGAGCACCAAATAATTTTTTCCTCCTTTAAAATTGTTCTTGTCTAGTCTTTTGGTCATAACAAAGAAAAGCTGACTAAAACAATCTATGAAAATTGCCTCATTTTGATTAAGGCTTATGTGCCGTTTGCCTACACAATATATTTTCAGATTAGACAAAACAAAGGATTTCATCTAATTAACTTTATCTAATATTTAAAGTATTTAAGAAACCTTTAATATAGGCACATTCCAATCGTGATCTAGATAGTAGAGATGATGTTAGCCTGAAGCTCCTGGGGAGGATCAGACCACCGTAAACAATTTGTGATCCATGATGAAAAGACTGAATTCAACACACCTTCCCATACCCACCCCTTGCTAAGTTCCCTTTAAAAAAAGAGAGACCCCCACAAGTGCTTCTCAATGTGCATTTTCACCTTTCACTTTCTAATAAAGCTCTTCTTCTTTGGTAAAACTCAATATGTGATATGTCCTTAAATTCTTATTTTTTATAATGTTGAGTTTAATTTTTAAATCTTTATTTAATTAATTTATTTTTTATGTGGTACTGAGGATTGAACCCAGTGTGCCTCACATGTGCTAGGCAAGTGCTCTACCACTGATCTGCAACCCCAACCCCTTTAAATTATTTTCTGTAACCTGTGGAGAGCGTGGAAAATCCACATAGAGGTCACCTCTGCCTCTGGAGAGACAGCCTCAAACCACTTACAGTGATGCCATCACATTGCATGTTAGGACTCTAACAAATGAATTCTGGAGAGATCAAACACTCAGTCCATAACAAGTGCTGAATGTATTAACACAGACCCTCAAACCATAGGGGAGTTTTGCTAGGATTAGGATGAGTCCTTTCTGAATCCTGTTTTACCCTCCACATCTGGAAGCTCAGTATTACAGAGTATGAAAAGAAAGGGAAGCAACAACTACAGGAATGAGCACCTTCTTAGGGAAATCACAAGGTCTTTAAGGAGTGCACATTCTGTTTTCTAAAAGGAATGAAGCAAGTCTGGCTTGGAGTGATCAGCCAGCTGTGGTTTCCTTTGATGACAGGGCTAGGGTTTAGTTTGTAGAATGTTCTCAACTACAGTAGATGTTTTTAAAAAACTAAGAAAATCACCTTCAGCAGCTTATCAACTAACCACAGGCCATTATCTCAAATGGGAACTTAATCAAACCATTATTCAATTTTATTCAAATGAATTTGTGCTCCTAACAAGGGCCCTGGCTACATCATTTTTAAAGCCTGGTGCAAAGTGAAGATGCAGGCTCCTTTTAAAACATTAGTAAACATTTCAAGATGGTGACAAAACATTCAGCCAAGCATGGATCCCCTTCTGAGTACAGGTCTGTAAACCTGCCCTGCCTACTGATGACTATCTAGTAAGTCTAGTGCCAGGAAACCCCAACCGGTCCTTGGCCATGCAGCTGCTGCAGCAGAAAAACAAAACAAAACAAAAACAAAAACAGACACTATAGGCACCAGGAGCAAGCCTCTCTCCCAAACTGCCATAGCTCCTTGTAGCATCTGTCAGATGACCAGTTTTCATTACTGTTTTTCCCTCAAGTTTCTGTCCATAAACAACTCAAGGCTTAAAACACACATACACACACACACACACACACACACACACACACTCAAACAACAACAACAGCAACAACAACAAACCTACTAAAACCCCCATCCACTAGTGGACTACTGTAGATTTGCAGACCTGCAGACTTGCCCTCTGACACTGTTGTTAACCTATGTGCCCGCCCTGCGCAGTGGTCAAGCAGAAATATCAAGCATCAAAGCCCAAAGAAGCTAAATTCAAGGTCTTCCACGCCAGAGAAACCGTCCAGTCTGCAGACCCGCCCCGTAACCCCTGCCTCGCACAGGGAGTGGACCTAGTAAATTGCTTTTTTGAACATTCCCTTCAAAACGGCAAAAACTGGGAAAATGGCTGCAACGCTAAAGAGAGAGAAAAGAGAAGCTGAAATGGGTGGCAGCAGGGGCGGAATCCCGTCCTGGCTGGTGGATAATGTGATAAGAAACCTGGATCCCAGCGGCCTCACAATGGCCTATTTATCCGGCTCTCACGCACCGCCGGCAGCCTGGGCTGGGAATCCCGGGGGTGGCAGCCGTCCCCGGAAAACGGCGGCGCTCCGGCACAGGAAAGCCAGCTGATAACTGATCTGCAGACAGCGCTTCTTCCTTCCTGGGAAGCAGCCACAAAGGCAGCCAGCTGACCCCGGCCCAGCGCCGCTCCCGGCCTGCGGAGGAGCGCCAGCAGTGGGGGAGGGAGAGCCGCGGGGCGGGACGCGGGACGAGGCGGGGAAGCGCGGCCCCCCGGGCTCCCTCTGGCAGAAGCAGCCCGCCGTGTGGTTGCGCGGAGCCCACGCTGGCCAGGCTCGGCCCCCAGCGTCCCGCCCGCGGGCCCTTCCGGCCGAGGCTGCGAGGGGGTTTAGAGTGGGGACGCGAACCGGTTGGCACAGCCCTCCCGGACTGTCCCCTGGGGTGGCCCCTCCCGATGGCAAAATCAAAAAGAAACACAGACATGTGTGGCACCCTATTAGGCGCACACTATTGTGACTCGCGTTTCAGGCGCAAAGACTGCTCAAGCCCCATTTGGCAGGGCGACCCAGTAAAACACTTGAGTTCCCGAAATTTACCCATTAACTTCCCTGGCGACAGAGCACTTTAAGCTAGTCAGACTCTGTCTCTGCCTCTCCCTCTCTCATCTTCTTTTCTTATCATTTCTAAAAAGACAATGAGAAGAATTGGCAGGAGGTCATCTGTGGATTCTGAATGCCCCAGCACCCCAGGAAGCGCTGTTTTCTCAAAGTTGGCCCAAGAGCTGGTCCCTGCTGCTCTAGGAAACTTGCTTTCACTTTGGCACTCCCAAACTGCTTGATTTGGAGTCTCCAGAGAGCCTTGGAAGAGCTGCCTATGGAAGGGAAGGTCTGGAAAGATCAGGGCACAGGAGAGGAAAACACAAGGAAAGGGAGGATGCACTGTGAACTCTGCCATTGGACCTTGCAGGGTGGAGTGGAGTCTCCAGGCCCCAGGTGGAGCTGGTCAGCTGGGAGTCAGGATGTCCTTGATCTGCTTTCCAAATTGTACACAGCTCCACAAGGAAAAAAAAAAAAACACGCGGGGCGGGTCAAAGCTTAGCTGAATGCTCTGCAGCAGGAGGCACTATCTATCATCAGCCCACTGACTTCCAGCCAGGGGTCCCAAAGGAGACCAAAGCTCTTCCCTCTAGGCATAATCATGGGCCCAACATTCCCATCTCCAAATTCCTCCTACTTAATGTTCTGCCAGTAGCAGCAGAGTCAGCCCTCCAGGCTTGAGCTGGGAAGGAATTTCTTCCAATTTACCTCCTGCAGGGTAGTGCCGGAGGGCACAAGGTCACTGCATTGACTCTTCTACATAAACATAGCTCTATTTCAAGGGACAGAGTTGACTCTTGACCCTGATGAACAAAGAACTTGCAGGAAGAACCCCTGATGCTCTGTGGCAATTGGGAGACTCAGGTCCTTAGCACTATGAAGAAAGGAAGACTTCATGATCTACTAGGATCTGTCCCCGTTTTCCCTCCCAGTTAGCAATGAAGGAATGAAGATCCTTCAGCTGTTATGAGATTCCTCCAAACTCCTAGGAGATTTCCCACATTTTGGCGGGGTGGGGTTGGTGGAATCCCCATCAGAGACAAATGAGGGCTACAAGCAACAGTCATCCCTTTGACCCCCAAATCAACATCTTTGGGTTCTCATATCCACCTACTCACCCTAGGGCATGATTGCACCCTTTCTCTTTCAGGAAAATGAGCCCCTTCTTCTGAGGAACAGATTGAGTACTGGGGCTGAGACCCAGTTATAGTTCTGAAAAACAGTAAAAAAAAAAAATAAAAATAAAAAAAAATACTATGATGACTGTTTTCAAAGGAGAAAGACAGTGTGTTTTGCCAAGATTCAGGATTTATGATATTTTCTTGATATCAGCATCTTTTCAAAGACATCTGGGTAAAGTTAAATCATTCTCTGAATACCCACTTCATAATCTGTCATAGCAACCTGTTGAACAAGGTTCTTTTTGCCAGTTCTAAGTGTGTGTCTTTTAGTCTGGCTGTCCCAACATCTGTTGGGACAATTCATAAGAATGAGATCTGGGTATCTTTCTCAGTCTGTTTTTGTTTGTTTGGTTTTTGCTGTAGCCAAACATTACAGATTTAATAATTTATAAAGAATAGAAGTTTTTTCTGCTCACAGTTCTAAAGGCTGGGGAGCCCACAGTGTTGAAGGCCTGCTATCTCTGAAGGCCTTCTTGCCATGGGAACTCTGCAGAGTCCTGAGGCCCTACAGGGCATCACATGGTGAAAGGAACACTGGCAGTGTGCCAAAGAAAGCTCACTCATATAACAAAGCCACTTCCTCAATAACCTATTAGTCCATGAATGGGTTAAGCCACTCATAACAACAGAGCTCAGGACCCAACCACCTCCCAAAGGTCATCTTCAAATACCATTAACATATGACTTTGGAGACTGTCCCCAGCATATGAATTTTGGGGACAGTCAAACTATAGGGACATCTCCACCTTTATCAATGCCTTAAATAGAACCCATTCTCTGTGCCTCATAGAAGTAGATTGGCTCTGACTTTTTTGTTGTTGTTGTTGTTGTTGTAATTCTTTGTACACACATGGAGCACAACTTTTCATTTATTTGGTTGTACACAGTATAGAGTCACACCATTGGAGCAATCATATATATACTTAGGATAATGACATCAGATATCCATTTCATTCCACTATCTTTTCCACCCAGTCCCTCCTCCCTTCCCCTTATTTCTCTCTGCCCAATCCAAAGTTCCTCCTTTCTTCCCTTCTCTTGCCACCCCCCATTATGTATCAGCATTCACATATCAGAGAAAATATTTGGCCTTTGGTTTTTGGGGATTCATTTGTTTTGTTTAGCATGATATTCTTCAGTTCCATCCATTTACCTGCAAATGCCATGATTTTATTCTCTTTTAATGCTGAGTAATATTCCATTGTGTATATATACCACAGTTTCTTTATCCATTCATCTATTGAAGAGCATCTATGTTGGTTCCACAGTTTAGCTATTGTGAATTGAGCTGCTGTAAACATTGATGTGGCTGTGTCCCTGTAGTATGCTGTTTTTAAGTCCTTTGGGTAGAATAGCCGGGTAGAATGGTGGTCCCATTTCAAGTTTTCTAAGGAATTTGGTTGCACCCATTTGCAATCCCACCAGCAATGTATGAGTGTACATCCTCACCAACATATTGTTGCTTGTATTCTTGATAATTGCCATTCTGAGTGGAGTGAGATGAAATCTCAGAGTAGTTTTGATTTACACTTCTCTAATTACTAGAGATGTTGAACATTTTTTCATATATTTGTTGATCGATTGTGTATTTTCTTCGTCCCTGAATTTTAATGGTTACTGCTGCTGACACTATGTCTTGTCCCCTCGAGCTAGTGGCTGACATAGAACCTCCCTGGCCCTGACCTGTGCTCTCCTTCAAATTCCTGCTCTTCCAGCTACTCCAATAGCTTTTCTGCCTCACCTGCTGGCTTCTAGGGCTGGTAGTGCTGGAAGGTCTGACTTGTCCCTGCTCCTCACAGGGGTTCTGACATAGGCTTCCAGGTGCTTATAGTAGAACAGATGGGATTCTTCAAGATTGTGGACAATTATTACTTTTGCTAAATACATGAGAATACCACACCTCTCCTCCAATAAAGCAGGATTAAAAACTCTCTATACACACAGTCTCTAGAATGACCTCTTATTTAGACTTGGTTATGTTCAAAGTTTTCCAAACATTCCTCTCTTCTCTCCCTTCCACTTCCCTACCAGTTAGAAGGACCTGCTTTTCTAAGGGCAGAGTTAGTGCTTTCTTACAACTGAGGATTAAAGAGGCAGCAGAGTCCACATCTCAACCTACTGTCCCTCTCTCCCACTGGGTCAGTTTCTCCACTGCATTGGCCAATCTGAGTCAGAAAGCAGAAAATTTCAACCATCGGGCTGCTTTTTAACATCAAAATCCTTTTATTGAATGTAAATGGTATAGCCACTGTGGAAGACAATTTGGCAGTTCCTTGAAATGTTTAATATACAACTACGACTTTGCGGTTCTACTCCAAAGAATTGAAAATTGGTATTCAAATATTAGTACACCAATGTTCACAGTAACACTCTTCACAATGAAAACTTGGAGTGGAGCCACCATTTGACCCAGCTATCCCACTCCTTGGTTTATACCCAAAGGACTTAAAAATGAGCATACTACAGGGACACAGCCACATCAATGTTTATAGCAAGAAGGATAGTAGAATGAGTTGGACATTATTATGCTATGTACATATATGGTTACACAACCAATATGATTTTACGCCATGTACAACCAGCAGAATGAGACATTACACTCCATTTATGTACAAGTGTCAAAATGTATTCTACTGTCATGTATAACTAATTAGAACAAGTTAAAATGAGCATACTACAGGGACATAGCCACATCAATGTTTATAGCAAGAAGGATAGTAGAATGAGTTGGACATTATTATGCTATGTACATATATGGTTACACAACCAATATGATTTTACGCCATGTACAACCAGCAGAATGAGACATTACACTCCATTTATGTACAAGTGTCAAAATGTATTCTACTGTCATGTATAACTAATTAGAACAAGTTAAAAAATGTTAAAAAGTGTGTGTGTGGCGGGGGAGCAACCCAAATGTCTATAAATAGATAAATGGACAAATTAAATATGGTGTATTTATACAGTGAAATATTATTCAGCCACCAAAGGAAAGAGGTGTTGATATATGTTACAATGTAAATAAAGTGTCAAAACATTATGTTAAGTGAAGCCCAAACATAAAACCTCAGAGATCATATGATTCTATTTTTATGAAATATCCAGAAGAGGTAAATCCATAGAGACAGAAAACTTAACGGTTGCCAGGGGCTGGAGGAGGAAGGAATGGAGAACAACTGCTTAAAGGACCTGGGCTCTCCTGGGGATGACAGAAATGTATTGGATCTACATAAAGGGAGAGTACTGAAGGTCACTGAGTTGATCACTTTGTAATAGTTAATTTTATATTATGTGAATTATTTCACCTCCATTTTCAGAAAGTCCCCCCTACATCTTTTAAGGATCAGTTTATTCAGGGCCTTGTTACATTCTGGTCATCTTTTGGAGAGTGAAGATTGCATGCAGAAAGAGTTAGGGGGATGAAAATGAAAATCATCCCCTTCTCCTAACTGGTTGATCACAGTGATGAGGTTGGTGATG